ACCTCGTAGTGTGTTATTATATTTCAGAACCCCATCCGAACATGTCATAAGCTGTGCAGTGGTCTTGCGATTTCCTTCTGTGGAATGATATTAAGAATGAGACTACATTCCAAACAGAGGCCTTTTCGTTTATGCGGAACAACCGGTTTGTCCGGTTTTAAATGTAACAATTTCGGGAATAAATCCTGGCGGACCTGCACATGTTTGTGCATGCCTTGCGCATCTGGTAATGAGTTTATATGGACAAAAAATAGCCTACCCCACTCGACTTACATTATTGGAACAGCTTATAGATCAGAAAGCTCTATTCTACCGTTTTGGGAAAATTTAAGGTCATCTATAAATAATGCTCTTGATATCTCTCCTAATGTTATATAGTAACAGGGGACTTAAATGTTGTCTTCTTCACTGCTTCAAATAATCACGTTCTTTTTGACATCATTAACTCCTTATCACTAACTAATGTTATGAAAGATCCTACTCGTACTGGACGTACTAGTTCTAGCTTACTAGATCCTATACTATTATCTGACTCTATTTCTTGTATTGCCTCTTCTGTAATTTCTGTTGATAGATCATTTAGTGACCATGATGGTTGTACTGCTTCCATTAATCTTCCTTGTCTTTTTAAACCAGTCCATAGCTATAAACGTAATATTTGGCAGTACAAGGGTGCAAATTTTGAAAATTTAATGAACTTATATCTAATCATAATTGGATAGATATTTTTTTATAATTGTGACGCAGTTAATTTAGCATGTGATCGTTTTACGAACATTTATCTATCATTTTGCCAATGAATGTATTCCTAGGAAAGAAGTAAATGTAAAACCTAATGATAAGCCATGGATGACCTCTGAGCTTAAAAAAGCCTTAAGAATTAGGGATAGATTACATAAAATAGCGAGGTCAACCAAACGTTTGGCAGATATCAATAAATTCAAATCACAGCGAAACAAAGTTAATAATATGAAAAAGCATGCACGTGTTACTTTTTATGAAAATGTTTATGATATTATTGATGAGTACTCATCTTCTGATCCTAAGTCTTATTGGAAATTAATTAAAAGGTTAATTAAAACGTCTGATACTTCAAAACCTATATCTTCCTTAGACGATCCTATTACTAATGTCATAGTTTTGACTAGAGATGAAGATAAAGCTGAATTATTAAAAAACTATTTTTTGTAGTATTACTAGAGTAGATGACAGTAACACTGATGTTCCGATTATTGAGCCAAAAACTGACAAACATATTAGTTCAATTAGATTACATTCAACTGAAATACGCGATGTTCTACAGATATTGAAGCTCGGCAAGGCCTCGGGTGGGGATGGAATCAGCCACCATATGCTGCTCACACTGTTTGTACTCCGCTGGAAATAATATTTAATATGTCCTTATCAACAGGGATTTGGCCAAATAAATGGAAATTAGCTTATATCATGCCGTTGTCTAAAAAGGGTGACAGGCATTCTCCTTCGAATTATAGACCGATTTCCTTGCTGTCCACTGTTGGTAAAGTTTTTGAAAGAGTGATTTTTAAACATTTGTACAACTACTTTATAGAAAATTCTTTGTTTTACAAATATCAGTCTGGCTTTATGCATGGTCATTCTACAGTGTATCAACTCATTGATATTTAACACCAAATTTGTATTGCACTTGAAGAAAAAACATACGTGTGTTGTATTCTGTGACATATCCAAAGCTTTTGATAGGGTTTGGCATAGAGGTCTTGTAGTGAAGTTAAAATCGTACGGAATTTCAGGTGAACTGCTTATGTGGTTAGAAAATTATTTGTCTCAGAGACACCAAAAGGTATTTTTAAACAGTTCATGTTCTTCTGTAGGTCTAATTGAGGCAGGGGTTCCGCAAGGCTCTATTCTTGGCCCACTTTTATTTCTTATATTTAATTAATGACATAGCAGATTTGTTTGAATCAACCTCTCGTCTTTTTGAAGACGATACATCATTACTTAAGTCATCTTCATCTTGTCTAGAAATTCAAGAAACTTTAAATAGAAATCCTGTTTAACATCAAATTTTCAGTCAAGTCCACCTTTTTACTTTAAAATCGGAAATCGTAAACTTAATATTTTGCTTACTAAGCTCCGACACCAGTGCAGTTCCCTTAATTTTGACCTTTTTAGAGTTAACCTTGTTGAGAGTGCATCTTGTACTTTCACTATTTTATGGAATGTCACCTTTTTACAAACGAAAGACGTATTTTGGTTCAAAATTTGATTAATTTTCATGTTGCGTCAAATTTAGAAATTCTTTTGTTTGGCAATTCACAATTTTTCGTGGACTTTAACTCAAACATTTTTAGATCTGTGCAAAACTTTATCAAATCCAGCAAGAGATTTTGAGTTCAAATTGTAACAACAATTGTATATATTTATTGTCATTATTGTAACGTCATTAAAAATGTATAATGGGAGAAGGCGTTGATAAGTTGTTCTAACTTGTGCCTAACCCTTGTCTATTTTTGGCAATAAATATGTTTAAACTAAACTCGATATCCAGGGGTTACGTTCACGTTATCATAGCAAAGTTGAAGGCACAACGATAACTGTTTGATTGGTCTCAGGTAACAAAAACTGACCAATCGCTAGGCTGATGCCTGTCCTTTGAAGACTACAAAGGAGAAACGCCCGACCTCAAATCCTGTCCAATTTTACCGTTACATGACAGCGAGATTCTTTTGATCTATATCAAAGGAACGAACTAGTCTCCTTGTCTCATCCACAAAGTGGCACACACTGAGCCTTCAATTTTGCTATGACATATTCCAGGGGTGTAGAGAGCGAAATTTCACGTTTCAAGTTTTTTATTTACCAAATGCAATACAGCATATAGGTTATACAATTACATCACACATGGTTCATAACAAAGTACAATATACAAAATGGCGGAGGATAATTCATCGTTCACATTTAACATATACATTTTTACTGAACCACAAGGGCTTTTCTTTTGGCAGTTGCATGCAATAAATATTTACCAAGTTTACTTATTTTTTTTACATTTTTACATGAAAATAATTCAATCTATTCATAAACACTAGTAATAATAACAGTATTGTTTTAAATATGTATTTCTTAACTCAGAATAAGCTGGACAAAGTAGTATAAAATGCATCTCATCTTCTACATCATTTTTGTTACAGACAGTACATATTCTTTGGCCTCTTGGGACGGCATTGTAACGTAAACCCTGGATATCGAGGATGGCCTTGCAAGGCTTTGTCAAGGCTCGCCTGAAAGCAGCATCATATTGCTAGGTCCGACCTTGTTACATAAACGAACACCTGTTTCAACCGTTTAAACGAAAACGGCCCAGGTGTCACAGGATTTATCTTAGCCTTGACGTTTGCATTTTATGTTTTTCATAACAAAATGTGGGTTATCTGAATCTTAATTGAATGAACCTCATACTCATAACATGTTAGACTGAAGTTGTTTGGTTTAAAAGGATCTACAATGTTTGCGATAATGCAAAAATGTTGTTTTTTTTCAATAATACTGGTTATCCTGGTAATGACGTCGTTTGAATTACAATTCACAAATGGTCAGTTATACTTAGAAAATCAACACGAGCCTTAAGAATTGTACCTGCTGCCCCCAATTGCATGATCGTAAGAGGCGACTAAATTTGGGACCTTATCTTTTTTCTTCTTTCCAAATAACGTTCGTCTTCCTGATGTCTCCCTTGACACTGCCTCACTTTTGACTATTTGATGAGCGTTCACCCCTGTGAGGAAGGGTTTGGGTTCTGTCCCCTGGCCAAGACATACCAAAGTCTTTAAAATGGTAGTTTCTTCTCCTGCTTAACGCTCAGCAAATTAGGAATGGGGCGACTGGTTCGCCCGTTGTCAGTATAATGTGACCGGGTGGGGCGTCCTGCTGGGTGTCTTCAGCAGTATGTTTCAGTGAGGTAGCACTATAAAGTCGCGCTATCACAAGGAGACAAACACAAACATATCGCAGCCTTCCAAAATACACACGCATACAGTACACGCATGCATCTTGCACACAGGCCGTCCTTAAATGACCTTAGCTGTTAATGGACGTTAAACAAAATAAAACCAAACTAAACCGAATTATATATTTAAAATAGTAATAAAGTGCATGTAGTATAGCGATGGCTTTGTTTTTGGAATTGAAACACTCTTTTAACTTGCATGCTCTATTTCTTTTAAAAAGATATACATGTATTTCATATGGAAATATTGCAAACAAGATTAAATACAGGTTCCGTATAGCTGATTATTTATCATTGATCTGTTTGAAATGGTCGATGTTATTTATTTTCATGTTTTGCCTATCGAGGCTGTTAATTACCTGCTAACAGAACCGATTACAATACATAGTGGGTCAAATACCGAAAGCATTAACTGAGGGCCAATATATATATTTTACTGTAATTTTGATTAAAAAAAGGGTTTCTATCTTGAAGATGTTGCGGTTTCTATGTACGTAAATTGATGGGTTAACTTAAAATCAGGTTATACATGAAATGATGGGGGCACACAGTATGTGTATCGTTCTGCCTCAGTATGTATGTGGATTCTGAGTAACTACTTTTATTGTAAATGTGTTTTTGTAGCGAGTCGGTGGAACAAAATGAATTGAAGAAAAATAAAAAATCGCAAGAACAAAATCATTTACATGTTTCTTTCATATTTAAATTTAGTTATGTGTTGATGTTAAACGTATGTAGGTATACAATATTTATCAATGTTCTCAAATTGGTTGACGTATGATATTCATGTACTTTGTCTATTGGCGTTTGTTCCTGACTTGAAGTATTTCCCAAACAAACAGACCGCGCTTCCGATGCTGTTGCTACGCGTAGTCAGTGCCTGTTAATTTCAATGATATATTATAGTAAGGATTTATATGATATATATCTATTATATATATATAATATTTTAACACTATTCTTAAGATTTTATTTAATAAACAAATCAAACTGCTATCGATGAATACGACGGTGAATTGATGGGAATCTGCGGACGTCAGTACATTTATAAGATCGTTATGTTCCCTCCTTTATCCAGTGTTATCGATATAATCTTATGAAGCTCGATACGTCATGATATGATACAGAAACACCCAAGACCAATCTACCAGTCAGTCACAGCATTGGTGATTTTGTTGTTACCAAAGTTGTAATTGAGCGTCGTTCTGTAGATGTTGACGGAGTTGGGCGACTTGGAATCCTTGCCTTGTATGGGTAAAGTCGGTGGGTTTCCCATGTGACCCTGTTGCCAGGGCGGGACCGCCGGATCAACGTTAACGGGCCTGACTTTTAGGCGGTTTGGCGATGCTGACGCTGACGCCATGCGAGGTATGGTCTGACAGCAACACTGGAGGATGAGGAAGTACCCAAGCACACTGCTGAGTAACCCGAGCAATACACCGATAACGGAAGAAATGATCTTTGATGAGGTTATGGCCTTTTTTGAAGAAAGCTGATTGGTAACGATGGAGTATTTGTTAGAGAGCACGCAACTGCAGTCCGCATACTCAAGCTGTGAACATTTCTGTAACAAAAAGCAACATATCAAGAAATCAAAGCTATCACAACACTTCAGTCAGCGGCTCAAACAGCACATCACCAAGCAAATCTATGACTAATCTACATGTTCATTCCCAATATTCTACACTTCTTCATACTCCACATACTGTACGTGTAGATATTTCTCAACGCAGACGATAAAATAACTTTAAAAGCAAAACGAAAAAGTCGTTTTCTCAAAATGACACGCTCAAATGACAGGGCCAACAACAACGAGAAATACAAAAGCTCTAAACTGATAAAAACAAAAACAAACAAAAAACAATAGAATATTGATATACATATACATATATATTTTATAGAAGATTAATGTCACAACCTTTATTACAATATTCTATAAAATTACACGAATACAATACTGACCGCTGTTTTGGTAAGCTTGGTATCACAGTTTTTACCGTTCCATCCCAGTGGACACATACAATGATAGGTGGTGACGTTGTTGATACAGACAGCTCCGTTGTGACACGGATAGGGGCTACAATGGTCGATACCTAAACACGTACATGTGTACCATCAGTTATCATGGAGTTATCTCCCCTATATCACTTATCTGAATGTAAATTCTTTCGTACCCGTTTCCATTTTATTTTCATTTCACTTTTAACAAATGATAAAATGTATGCATACTAATGACTCTCTACCACTGCAATAAGAGAATCGATCTAGACCTATTCTGTACCTTTATCCCTTTCATGTATCTCTTAATACATTATTTTGAAATGAAATAAATGAAACAACAGTTAGAATTCTAGTCACAGTCACGAAAACAAATTTTACATGGAGACCTTCACTTTAACAGTGTTTTAATCCAAGAAGAATATATAATATGCAAATCTAGTTTGGACTTTTTATGCGGTTTCCATTTCTAGCAGTTAGGATTGTTCGGTTTATTTGGTTAGTTATAATGGTACAGGTGACACGTAAACCATAATGATAAACTGTCCACATGATAGATTACCTTTCTCACACAGGAGGCCGTAGAAACCTGGCGGACACCTGCACGTGTAAGTGGCGACACCGTCTACGCACGTGCCATGGTTACGGCAAGGAGTCCCCTTACAATCATCGATATCTGGTAACATACACCAACACATTTCAAACCTTACTTTACTTACTCTTTTATTAACTTTTTAATACATTAAAGTGAATATCTTAAAAGTATGGGTTTATGGCTCATTTGACCAGGACAAAAACACCACAAGAATAAATATGCAATCACTAAAAAGAAATACATGGTTTGTTGTACGTTTATCTTCGATATCAAGGAGTTACGCTCACTTATGCTCTCTTTACACCTGGGATATGTCATTGCAAAATCAAAGGCTCGCGCCATGTTGTGGCTGAAACAAGAAGACTGATATACATCAAAAGAATCTCGCGGTCGCGTAACAGTTAGCTTGCCTGCCTTTGAAGTCGGCCGTCGCTTCTCTGTAATCTTCGAAGGTCAGGTATCAGCCTAGTGATTGGTCAGTTGTTTTACCCGAGACCAATCAAATAGCTAGCCGCGTTTATGTGATTCTATAAACTTCAAAACCTCAAGTGTAGGACAGAAACTGTAAACGACAAATGCCTTTTTAAAAAATATGGCAGGAGCTTGCTAAGCTGCAAACTGCTTTCTAACGAGTGCGTCTCGTTTTGATGTTGTTACCCCGGTTCTCACTATGAGTACTGACTTCACTTGTGTATGATCTAGATCTACATGACGGATGTCAGTAATGAAGAAGAAGACGCTCACCCCTCCGGACCCCATGGCTTTAATCTCCTCGTTCTTCTCAAGGATTTCCAAGTAAATCCTTCCGTTGTTCATGTTTTGCCCTAGATATATTGCTTTCGATTCGAATTCAGGGTTTTTTTGTGAAAGTTTTCATTTTCGCCTTTCCTATACACAAAATCCTAAATTATGAATTCATGCGATGTACTGTAGTGCTTACCACTTAAATGTTTTACTTCGAAATGATATTAAAGGTTGAGGAACGAATACACATGTAATTGTATAGACAATTATATATACCTCTATTTTTTTTACGCCAGAGTCATGAAAGTCTTCGAGGATCACAAGTTTTATATATACATGTACGTATGGGTATGAATGAATTATCAATCAAAGACTGCAAGAAAGACAGTAATTTTCTTTGCTAGTTAGATGTACTTACTCTGGTCACAGAGTGCACCAGTGTAGCCGACTGGACAGACACACTGGAACGAGTCTACCCCCTCCACACAGGTACCGCTGTTTTGACAAGGCATACTGACACACTCGTCTATATCTGGAAACAAGTAAAACGTAATACGTTAACAACAAAAAGCTCATGCAATATCACAATAACACATATTGTACAACCTTGAGTAACAATAACTGAAATAAAGTTACGCTTTTTTTGCTGGAAACTTTCTCAAATATTACAAAAATGTTCTTACAGCATGACAAGTGAATTGTTTTTACGTGTTACGTTTCGAAGTCTGAAGAAGGTGTCAGAGTACATATCGTACACGTAATATAATCTGCACACATAAACATTTCACTGGTTGTGCTAAATAAACTGTATAATTTATAACTATTATATGAAGAAAATGTTTAGAATTATTTGTGAAACATGCTATCATACCTTTCTCACAACGACTGCCGGTGTAGCCTGACAGACACACACATGTAAAGTTGTTGACATGGTCCTGGCATATGCCACCATGTAGGCAAGGCTGTGATTGACACTCGTTGATTTCTGTATTTTGACCGTTTGATATATTGAAAAAACCCAAATCAAACATAGGAATGTACAATTTTTGGTTTTATAATTAAAACATAATACATCACAATTCAACTTGAATGTCACTTTTGTGTCTCTTTTATGCCGCAATTCATTTTTTACAACCATTCGAAACAGTACAAGGTAATCATATTCATACAATGTTTATTTGTGACAAAAAGCATGAAGTACACATATTCTATTCAATATTAGTGCAACCACCGAACGGACGTACCTGTTTGACACAATACACCCGTGTACCCGGGGTCACACAGACACAGGAAGGAGTTTACCCTGTCTAAGCATGCGCCATTAGCACAAGGGGAGCTCGAGCACTCATCGATACCTGAAAACACCAATACATGCTTTTTTTTAAAGAATTCATTTTTTTCCCCAAACATATAAATTATCGTTACCAAAGGTAAATAACAAAAAGCTCTCATAATTAATATTTTCCCGTTTACATTGCAGGAGTTATGAAGTGAAGACGATCTTATTTTGTTAAGTGAACATAAGAAAGAATTAACACCTTTAATTTCAGTTGATTACTCACATTAACAGTTTCAGTGAGCAATGAAAATGTATTGGTTCACAGAAAAGTTTACATTTTTTTGGTATTGCATATATCCCCCCAGTAAAGTATGATACCTTCTCAACAATGGATAATGCGAAAGGAGATGACGTTATATACGCAACGTTTGGCGCAGTATTTAATTGATTGAAGCTGCTCGACGATGAAATTACATCGCGGTATTGTTCATCAGAAATTATCAAATCTTTATCTGTTATGAATTAAAAACGATTGTCCGTTTTTCTGGATTAAATTATACGGGATAACCATGCATGATAATTCAAGTTATTCCTAAAATCAATCAGTAATATAGGATATGATCACACGGATTTCTAGTGCGTACCTTGTTGGCAGTGTGTACCGGTGTATCCAGCGGCACAGGTACACACATACCCATTGGACTTGTCCACACATGTGCCACCGTTCTGACAGGGGGCGCTCACACATTCATCAATATCTGGAAAAAGAAACGGTGATTATTTTACTTTCCAAACACAAAAACGTTTGACTTTTAATTTTCGAGAAACGGTAATATTGTCTTACCTTCTGTTTAATGTTGCTGGGATACCATTATTTATATTATCGTTTAGAAAACAAAAACTCAAAACTAAATTGATATTTTAAATATGAATCAATTTAATTTACATTTGTTTACCATCACAAATACGACAAAACACAATTAAGGATGACCATTAATATTTTTTGAGATCAAATGACTTTTTTAAATACACTTTGTGATAAAAGGTTCCCATAGTTACCGATTTCACATCGGAAGCCCATGAAGCCACTCGCGCATATGCACGTGAAGTTATTGACATCATCGGTACAACTGCCGCCATTAAGACACGGGTTAGGTTTGCAGTCGTCAATATCTACAATAGAAAGCATTGCTTTATAAGTACCTTATCCAAAACGACACTGATAAAAAGCTAGGACGCTTACCGCAGGACTGAATTACGTGAACAGATATGGCATACCTGTGGTACATTGTGCATCAGTGTAGCCCGGCGCACATGAACATGTGTACGCGTTGACCTGGTCTGTACATGTTCCTCCATGTTCACAAGGATCAGAAAAACACTCGTCAATGTCTACAAATGAAAGCGATATTAATGATGTATACATTTGAAACGTGAAAACTCGCTCATTATATCACGTAGAGCTTGGTAATACTACTTGATAACGTCAAAGTGTAACGCGATCTCAAAACTCTATTAACAATTAGGAATAGGTCTTTGACATTTTCGTTGTGATATCAACCTACCTACGTCACATATACGACCAGAAAAGCCCGGGAAACAGGTGCAGTCGAAGTTGTTGATGAGGTCACTGCAGGACCCGTGTTGACAAGGAGAGCTCTTGCATTCATTGATGTCTTTAAACATAACATTAAATTAGATGTTATAAATATGGTTCAGGATTGAGGCATGCACACGGTTAAAGATACTATCATACAAGCAGGTGATTTTGGGAGGGAGGGAGGGAGGGAGAAATTTTTCAAAAATCGAATGCTAACATATCATAGGAAGGCACTGCTCTCCCAGATATCTTCATATTACGTTTTCCTTCCTTTCTGTTACACTATTTCCTTCTTTGTTTCATTGTTTATCCTGACTAAAACCAATGCACACATTGCTTCACATTGTTTAGCCTGGTACATATTGCTAGAATATTGTAACGATTTCAGACAATATCTTTTTTTTCTTCTGGTTTATATCCTTTTTCTTGGGAATACGTCATCACAAGAATCTTGTCAAATTGTACCGGGGAGGAATATGAATTAGCAACTAAGGTTGTGCCTATCAGATACACTATAACTGCACATACGCTTGTACATGCACATTATGAGATAAACGAACGTACACCATCTTCGAAATCCATCAGTTCTGCTCTTAACAGGCATATCTTCTCTGCACTCTTGGAATAAGTTATGACACAGTCGAATGATTGGTTTCATGTATCAAAACCTGATCAAACGGTACATACGAAGCCTATCGATTTGACCGTTACGCTGCCGCGTGATTTATTTTGTCTTCATCAATGACATCAGACTAGTCTTCGTGTGTCATGAGCAAAGGTGTCACGTAAAGAGCCTTCCATTACGTCATGACATATTCCAATGTTGTAGAGAAGATATATGTAAAGAGGATGCAGTATTACGACGGAAAACGTTGGATTTCGAAGATAATCGTTCACATACCGACACCGCAGATTCTGCCAGTATATCCCGGTAGACAGGAACACGCGTAGGCGTTGACAAGGTCCGTGCATGTGGCGTTATTAAGGCACGGCTGGCTTAGGCATTCATCAACATCTGTTTACAAAAAAAAAAATATAACATCATTACCAATTTGTACGCACATGATTCATTGTACGGCTTTTTATAGGATTCTGTAGTTGTGTATGCCGTCAAACATCAGTTACGTTGCATGTGACAATATAAACTAGAGTGATATGGGGATATATTAAATATTTCAAAATTAATAATTCTTTTCAGACGCTTATTAAATTGTAATGTTGCAAAATATAAGATAATGTTTACTTTAAAATTAACAAATGATTGGAATAGAAACACAGTGGTGATGGTATGTAATTTATAATAAATATATAACTGCCTTACTGATACAGAATGTAACAGTAGATTGCGTGTCATAGAAAACAAATATTGTGGTCAATAGTTACCGTTGTCACATCGAGCTCCTAAAAAGCCTGGCCGACAAAAGCATCTATAGGCATTGATTCCATCAACGCACGTGCCTCCATTTTTACATGGACTAGGGGCACACTCATCTATATCTGAGAGAAAAATATAAAAATATTTTTTTACAAAAATATTTCTTTATAGTGCGGAATACACTACTCTTAGCAAGTCTCACAAACTATAAATGACGAAATACACTGAGTAGTTTCCATGTCAATATTTTCGTCATAGGAATAGTTGGCGGATTCAAAAAGAGACAAATATAGGATAATTACATAATCCAAAGCATTAGTTTAGTAGGTAAAATTACCACTGAAGAAATACGGTTTAACAGGTCGGAGCTCGACAATTTTACGATTTGCATTTTCTGGGTTGCTATTATGATTAACTTTCTGATAATTCGGTTCAAACGCGGAAAAATTGTTCCTGTTCCTGACTACAGTTGCCGTTTAAAACAGTTTTCAATGTAATGGTAGCGCTTATAACTAAATATAACATTTTCCAAATAGAAATCAAATGCTGCCGTTTTCATGGATAGGCCATAACTTTATCGAATACGTTTGTTTGAAAATGATAACGAACTGTTTACTAGCAGATCACCTGCGATCCTACATATTACAGTGTACCAGCGTCTATGTGTACTGTACTTGTGAAACAGTATGCAAGTTAAAAACTTAAACCAATGTTTAAATTGAAGAACGACTTCACATTATCTGTTATACACATTATATAACTTAGTTTCGTACTTGTTTGACAGTTCAATCCAGAGTATCCCGGCATGCAACTGCATGTGTAACTGTTGACGTGGTCCGTGCACGTTCCACCATGTTGACACGGGTTGCTCTGACACTCGTCTATATCTAAATATAGATTTTTAGAGAACAAAACTTCATGACCTTAAATTGTTAACATCATTCGTCAACATTAATGGTATTTAGTGAATTGAGGAAAGTGACCTCCTGTTCAGCCTTCTGCATGAGTGAAAGAAGCAATTAATGCGGGCCTATTCTCGTATGGATAATGGATCTACTGCATTGCAAATGTTCATTTGAATTATCTCCGTGGATAAATCTAACTGAATAATGGATAATTTATATCGCTCTAGCATGGTGATACTGTTAACTAGATAACCCCAGTTACCTTCATCACAAAATGGCAATGAATTCAGTGTATCATAAGTTAGAATCAGATGTAAAAGGATTGTCTCTGCTACACGACGAACATATGTCGATACAGTGTGCATTATACCTACCTATGGTACAGCGAGTGCCCGTATAACCGGGTAAACAGGAACAGCTGAAACCGTTGACCAGATCCGTACACGTGCCTCCGTACATACAGGGCGACGACTTACACTCGTCGATATCTGTAAGGTAAACACTTGTTTGTATAAATATAATATTAACTTTATTTCGATAGAGGGCAGCAATGCCCATTTTGTTATTGTGATACTTTTTATTATCAGTGACAGGTATCTTTTGTAATTGTACATAAGAAATCATTGGCATATGTGCATGTATTACATCTGTATGGTAGACATATATCGTTGGTAAGAATAAATTAAAATTTAATAATTAAACTGCTCTGCACCCCTGGAATATGTCATAGCAAAATTGAAGGCACGAAGATAGCTGTTTGATTGGTCTCAGATAAAAATAAACCTGACCAATCACAAGGCTGATACTTGTCCTTTGAAGATTACAAAGGAGAGACGCCCGATTTCAAAGCCTGTCAGTTTTTACCGTTACGTGGCCGCGATATTCTTTTGATGTACATCAACGGATCGAACTAGTCTTCTTGTCTCACCAACAAGGTGGCGCACACTGAGCCTTCAATTTTGCTATGACATATTCCAGGGGTGCAGAGAGCGGATGTGAGCGTAACAACTGAGTTTCGAGGATGTATAACTCCATATTATACAACCATTTGTTGATTATATCTATTCTACCAAATGGAAATAAAATTGAATGTCAATACGTGTCTAATGTAAAGCAACGTGACTAAGATAATCTTTTATGTAAATTAGGCTGTTGTTTTGCACGCACAAACGTTTATCACGTGGATAACACATCTTCCTTCCAGCTTAAAAGCCGATGCCACGTCTGGTAACATATTTTCTGGATATTGCAGGCCCCCTGTAGTCAGGAATTGAGAAAAAACACACCTGCTGTTACCAACTGCATGTATCGTTAGAGGGGACTAATGTTCAAAAAGGGTAGTTGTTATTCCCTGCTTAACGTTCATTATTAAGGGTATTGGCAAAAACTGGTTGACCCGTTGTCATTATAATATGACCGGACGGGATGCTTTGCACGGTGCATTCGGCATGGTATTTCAGTGAGATAGCACTATAAAGTCGGCATCAGATCCACGCTCTCACAAGGAGGCAAGTACACCAACATACCCCGTCTCCGGCACGCATTCACGCATACACAACACACATGGAGGCACGTCCTTAAATGACCTTAGCTTTTAATAGGACGTTAAACAAAATAAAACCAAACCAAACCGATGGTTATATTGTTCAAGTTAAACGTGGATGTATTTGGAACGTATACAATATCTACATGCATGCGCGAACCCTCACTCGATGCTGCATATTCATTACTTACTCCTTCAGAACAGGTGAGGCTTTTGGGAAAGCGTTTTACATGCGTAGTTTGTCGGGAAAATATAAATATATGCGTATGTTTTATTGTCCGAAAATGTGCGGTTCAAGAGATGCACTGAGATAGATAATTTCTATACTTGTTTGACGCAATATGTCCTCCAAACCACGTCTAACAGACAACACGAGTTCAATTGTTGTCAAACACTGCGCTGTATACGGCACGACCGTTCCAACTGGTAAAACAGATAAACTTGCATTTGTATACAAAAAACCCACATATATCTATCAAGCAGAGACATCAGTAAATAATGTCATTTAATGTCCTTTTTACCTGTTTGACAATTTACATCTGTATACCCCGTCACACATACACACGTATACCCATTCACGTTGTCCTGACAGGTTCCGCCATTTTGGCACGGGTCACTTTGACACTCGTCTATATCTAGAATACATAATACATTGTACTTTTATAAAATGAACCACTGCTACGGAGATTGCTGCATAAAAGCTTTTTAGTGTTGGACCTATCATATTTTGATTGGTACTGATTGGTAAGTTATTTTGACAATCCTCTTAAAGTTATTATGGATTAAAAAAAATATCGAAATATATAGCAGGACTACGAAACGTCAATTGATGACGTTTAGTTCTCTCAATTTATTTATTTATTTACATGATTGTTTTTACATGTACATTGTACCTGTCTGGCAGTCTAGTCCGGAGTATCCCAGCATGCAGCTGCAAGTGTAACTGTTGACGTGGTCTGTGCATGTTCCGCCATGTTGACAGGGGTTACTCAGACATTCGTTGATATCTGATGTAGAAAATGACACTCAGTTTTAATTTGGAAGTATTTAAAACAGCAACGCCAACATAAAAATAACTATGAGCCATACTTTTTAAACAATGTTATCATGTCTCTTTCAAGAACAACATGCCTGTTTTCACACCGTGATACGAATTATTTTGTGACGTCACTACTACTTCCTGCTGTAGATGAAATGTAGAAACAGCACGAGACTTTAATACCATATCAAAATTGTCCAATCAGGAACGAGTATTGAAGGATATATGTAATCTAAACAGACGTACCTATACTACAGCGAGTGCCCGTATAACCGGGTAAACAGGAACAGCTGAAACCGTTGACCAGATCCGTACACGTGCCTCCGTACATACAGGTTGACGACTTACACTCGTCGATATCTGTATAGCAATAATGGTAGATGTAGATAAAGATTAGAAGAAGGCAGTTTGCATCTGCATTGGTATATCTAATGACTGTCTTCGAGTAATTCGAGCAAACGTGAATTTGAAGTATTACCATATTTGCTATTTCTCTGGTGAGCTTGGATCTAAAAAAAATAATGATGCATTTTGTTGAAAAAAATCGTATGCAAAATGTTGTTATTTGAATTCATTCCGATAGCATTCATCTGTGTTGAGGCTATTAAAACAAACAAATAAATAACGAAAACAATTTTACCCGTCTGACAATCAGCATCGGTGTAGCCCGGGGTGCAGATACATTGGTAGCCGTTCACTTTACCCATACAAGTTCCTCCATGTTGACACGGGTCACTCTGACACTCGTCTACATCTGGACGATACAAATAATACAAGGCAATGGTTTGGTCTTCTAGGATTACTCCCCCCCCCCCTAAGAATCATCGGGGCTACTCAAGAGAGATGACAGCGAAACAGATAGGAAATAAATATAACGCAAGTGTTAATATAGATATGATTCCGGTTAAAATCCAGGAAGCTGTTTAATTTGAACTTTTTTTTTATGTTTTCATCAGGAGAAACACAAGGAAGTGAAAATATATTGTTAGCAATAGTGACCTTGACCTCTAACAGAAAACACCTAATCCAATAGGGTTCTTTACATTCACTAGAACAATCGTCACACTGAGTTCTTCTTATCTAATATAGTAACCAACATACCAAGTTTGAACATTGTGTGGTATTCGTTATTGAGATATCATCCAGATGAGCCCAACGAAGCTGGTTTCTATGTTGTTTAGCAACAGTTACCTTGACCTCTTGCAAACCATGCTCCAGAATCAAGGTTTCGTGAATGTACTAGGGCAACCCATACACAAACTTTGAACTTTGTACGATCAATCGTTCTCATCCGGAAAAGCATAACGGATATACGGACGGACAATCCGCGTCACGAGTATATCTTCCCGATTATGTTTTCGAGGGGAGGGAGGTGGGGGGATAAATAAAATAAAGTAAGGGAGAAATTATTTTCTGTGATTGAACGATATTGAAAAAGGGTCATTTTTCAGTAATGCCAGTTGATCCTCTCACAGTGACAAGGTAAGTGAAGGTTTATTTATGTCTCGAACAGAGTACTCAAGTGAAACATTTAAACTATGGTTTACTTGTACCTACCTATACTACAGCGAGTGCCCGTATAACCGGGTAAACAGGAACAGCTGAAACCGTTGACCAGATCCGCACACGTGCCTCCGTACATACAGGGTGACGACTTACACTCGTCTATATCTGTAAGGTAAACAATTGTTTGAATGAATATTATAATCTATCTATATATGTAGTAAGTTATGCATGTATAATGATAGGATTTGTCAAATGCTCCGTGCATTTTAAAATGAGTCACAGTTGATGAAAATGTTTATAATATCGTGATTCCATTTTCGATCAAGGAAAAGATATGCAATGGTTGTCACTCAAAGAGTGATGCATGGTGAAATACTGCAAATTACTTACAAAGTAATTACTCTTTCTGAGTATTTGCACATTATCGTTAGACTGTGATTGGATGTGACACCATATGTACACTTGCTGTTTACCAGTTTGACAGTCTGCTCCTGTGAAGCCCGCCATACAGACACACGTATAACCGTTAACCTGGTCCTGGCAGGTTCCGCCATGTTGGCAGGGGTCACTTTGACACTCGTCTACATCTACAACAAAACACAACAGATGTACATTGAATGTGTATACATCATATGCAAAGGTTGTTCTGCCAGTGGATACGCTAACTGATGGTTCTAGACCTACATATATTGGTTAAAATTAACAGTACTTGTTTGACAAGTCAGTCCAGAGTATCCCGGCATGCATCTGCACGTAAAGCTGTTGACGCGGTCTGTGCACGTTCCGCCATGTTGACATGGGTTACTCTTACATTCATTGATATCTGAGAAAAAAAGAAAGATTTATTATAAGAAAGGCTCAATCAACACAAATTGTAAGTCTAAGAATTATTTATTTTAAATGATCTTTTGCAATACGTAAATGCTAATATATTCATGCATTTAAAATCAATTAGTATTGGGAATGTGACTTAACGAACAATTACATTTAATATACGTCCATACCACGACAACTTTGATAAATATTCCTTTTAATTGAAGAAAATCACTGTTCCTATATCATTACGCTGTTGGAATTTTAAAAACGTCATGAAGGTTACTGGATCCTTTGCCAAACGGTTTGTTTACCATGTTCTTGGACAGTTTTGTGATATTTCGAAACGAACTCGACACAAACAGAAAAATAAACGTGCACTTCAAAGAACCAGATATGTACTTCCGTTAACACTAAAGGTTAGTGGCGACACCGAGGTAAAACAGCAGATGCAAAATGCACAATGATATCTGTATATGTTCGATACATCTTCTTGAAAATATGAAACTCCACATGGCGGTATAATTTAAATATTATACGAAAATTCCATTCACTGGTTATTACAATATACAAAGGAAACTATAAAGCCGTAAAAGAAATGACCTACCTATACTACAACGGATGCCTGTATAGCCAGGTAAACAGGAACAGCTGAAACTGTTAACCTGGTCTGTACATGTCCCTCCATACATACAGGGAGACGACTTACACTCGTCCATATCTGGTTAGAGAACAAAGAAACTTAGTATAGGTGAACCTGAATTCGACAGCTGTTTGAAATAAAACGTCATTCATTATTTATTTATGTTTTGTTTCGTAGCACATTTAAAGTTTAAAAGGTTTCAATATTTGATCACGTTTTCTTCTTCACAAGAATTACCGACTTAAAAACCACCTGTCTGGCTATTATGATAAATAAATGGAACCTGTTTTTCAAAAACTTAATATGTTGCTATAATTAATCCCTGTCTCTGTTTTCTTCTCATTTTGACGACTTAAAGAGTATCTACTTGGCTTCTAGTGATAAATACAAGGTACCTGTTTGACAGTTTGCATCTGTGTACCCCGCTAAACAGAAGCACGTGTATCCAGCCACGTGGTCTACACAAGTTCCTCCATGTTGGCACGGGTCACTGTGACACTCGTCTACATCTAAAAGATCATCAATACTCATAAAAATGTATACACTTTTCGTACTTTGAGTGAAATAACCCCAACATTTCAGAACTAAGAAAACTCGACTTGTTTGAATACTAAATTGATTTCCCAATATCAACTTATTATAATTATCACTTTTGGTTGATAACTTTAACTGTGATCTTGTGGAACATGATAGCAACAGAAACATACTTTTGTGATTAAGTACGTCAATGACGCAAATTAAAAGCTTATTTTTATATGTATACACAATAAAATAAAGCATTATCAAAACATTTAACGGGCATGAATTATGCTAAGAGTACCTTTTTGTAAAAGGTAAATGAAGAGTGAACTAAGAGTTATATTTTCTTACCAGTTTCACAGACTTTGTTAGTGTACCCAGGGGGACAAGTGCACGAGAAACGGTTGACATGATCCTGACATGTGCCGCCATTCATGCACGGCAAACTCTGGCAATCATCGATATCTATGAAAAAACATAACTAACTCATTGAGAATGTAAACAAATCTAATTCCTGCGTTAAAATTCAGAAGATAAGTACGTATATTGAAGTTGTACATGTACGTGATATTGCGAGATTAAGACATTTAATAATACCAGTTTGACACTCCATCCCGGTGTAACCCGCCGCACAATTACAAGTGTACCCATTTACGTTGTCCACACACGTTCCACCATGTTGGCAAGGGTCACTGTAACACTCGTCTATATCTGAAAAAAATATCTAATAAGATAAGAGTGTTTTCTTTCTAAAAGAGACTAATTTAAGACTTTAGTAACAGATAAGAAGCATAGAAAATAATGCTCTGAATATTCTACCACATTCGCGATGTAACGACTGTTTTCATTGGTCAGAAGAAGTGAATTACTGTAGTACATGCCACCCAAGTGATACAGTTATGCACGCATGTACAGGTATGTACGCACGTTGTATAAAAATTCCCTTGATTGTTAACAATCAGCCATGTAAACAGTAAGGAATAATATGAATCGATTCCGTTAGAGGGCTTACGGAACCACATGTAAGCGGTTTGCGTATTCATAGAAGTCGAATTGTTATTGAAACGGCGTATCCTTTCATCTTTGGAACTGTTATATGGAAATTTCTCCGTATTGTATGATTCCTATACAAGGTGAGTTTTAATACACCACCAATCATTTCATGATTTGAAGAACGATTGTCAATGTTATATCTGTATGGACGTGCCACCTATGCTCTGCATATGAAATGCTGACATGGCACAATCATCCATTCAAGTTACAATATATATCATTGGAGTATACATGCTAGGGCTACCCAAACAGTAAGTTTGAACTGTGACTATGAGATTTTCGATGGGTTGAAATCAACTTCTAATCGTATGTCAGTAATCAGATATTGGGGTCATACATCGTTAGACAGTGTGTGCTGTCGAAGTGAACTATATCGAGTTGTTGCAGTCTATAGAAAGATCTATGTTTAATGCCACAACCAGTCGGAAAATGTTCATGCATAAAGTGTCAATCCATGCCGTAGCGAGGAGGAGAGAGCAGGAATCGTGGAAATTGTTCCTCATCGAAGAATCAACGACTTATATAATCCCGAAAGGAAACCAAGAAATTTCCGAAATTGCTAGCGTTCACTTCATGAGCTTCACCGTGAAGGAGGAAACAAGCATGAAACCAGAACGAAGAAACACGTTCCCGTAATAAGCTTGCACGCGCAAAAGAATATTATTTGCATATTAAATAATCTAGATACTTTCGTGTTATAACAGCATAAATATGTATTTTTGTTATTTGATGTAGTAGAATAGATACATGTATGTATTCGGTAGCATAGGAAACAATTACTCACTGAGGTATTTGGTCTTTATTATGTTCGGCGAACATATTGTCACCCTCACACCACCATAATCCAAGCACATATGTTTATAGAGTCTTAAATATGACATAATTGTACCAATGAGGATCACATGGGATCGTAGTTACCCTGGTAAATGTTTAAAAAAATGACCTAATATGACGGACAAATAATAAAAAAGTTATAATCCTGTGGATATCGTATGGCTATTTCATTTTTTTTAATTACGTTTTAGTCGTATTGACTAACATGTAAATCAAAATGAGAAAGCTCATCATTCGAATAAAAAAAACATGAATACAACTATGAGAAATGAATGTAATAAGTAATGCCATACCTGTTTTACATACGGGATCTGTGAATCCTGCTGCACAGATACAAGAAAAGCTGTTCACGTGATCAACACATGAGCCAGAATTATAACAGGGGTCACTCTTACATTCGTCGATATCTGGTCAGAAAAAAAAATGGTATATGAAGATCAATCTTTATTTGACGTCCCCGTAAAAGTTGACAGAGGAAACAGGTCAAACCAGAGTATATTTTCTTATCGAAAAAACATTAAAAAAAAGGTGCAACTGAATGCTACAGGTATAATAAATCTAGCTTAATACATAAGTGTTTTAATGAGACGTTTAGATTGTGCTGTATTATCTGACGGAAATGTCAGTGCACTGGCTATTTCAATGACGGGTATGTCAACAAGTCAAAGTTTATTTTGATCCCATCCTCCCTCTATATCAGGGAATAACGTTATATTTATCTCACTTGTACCTGTTTGGCAATGCACGTCTGTATAGCCAGCCACACAGCTGCATGCATAACTATTGACAGAATCCAAGCAGATTCCACCATGTTGACACGGCAGACTTAAGCATTCGTCGATATCTTGAAATTCAAAAATATATTTCACAATATATTATTTATATTATTTTATTCATACCATTTCTATTGTGGGTAGTAGGATATTTTTGCTGCTAGCTTTATATAACATATGTTATAATATTAAAGGTAAACATAGATCTATTTCAGGTTTTTTTTTACACCGTATTTGAACAGTTAGTTGAGAATTTCCGTTTTGTTATTGGATTTTCAATAAAACATGTCATTTTCATATAAGGTCATCAGATTGATGTGATTACAAAACGTTCTGTGACTGTTTTGATTTTAGCTTAAAACAGCGTAACACAGATCCCCACGTGTTACCCACTGCATCTTACCTGTCTGACACCGGACACCAGAATATCCTACAGCACATGCGCAGTTGTATCCATTAACATGATCAGAGCACGTGCCTCCGTTCTGACAAGGGGCAGACAGACACTCGTCGATATCTGGTGTTTAAGGAAATGTCAAGTACGATTTGGAGGAGATAAATTAAATAAATAGATGTATTTATCTGTCTAATAGTAACATATACATTTTCAGCCAGTCAAATAATTTAAATTAAATTAGTTTTGTCTGTCCCATACGTTTAAGTTTTCCTTTCGTTTTTGAGGAATAAAAAAAAAGAAAAAAAAAAAAAAAAAAAAAAAAAAAAAAAAAAGGTTCAAACCAAATACGAAATGTCAACAGACATTCATAACTGGGCTGTTGACATAGATAGCAAACATCGGCTGAAATATATTTAAATTATCGTGAAAGTGACGTCATTAGCAGCATTTACGAACATTAACAATATGACAAGTGAACACTATGTTGGCTATACTCATTGTCAAGCTTGAGTGACTCGTTTTTTGGTTGAGATGATAACATCCGGTTTGACAATATGGCTCCCAGTTCACAGCATATTTTAGAATTTTAGCATACATGAAGTGCCATTTAACGTCGGAGTCACACATGATTAATGTTGTTGATTATATTTCATATATTTCACATGCATTTTTATTTTCATAAAATGTCCCCCAATGTATGGTTTTCTTTGCAGAAATAATTTATCAAAGCTATAGCCATTCTGGAAAACAGTCTCCAATGAATAGTATCAGGTTTAGGCAGTGGTACGGGGATCCTTAAATGTGTAACTAAAATAACATTTTGGTGATACAATATGATAAAAATAATCAAAACTAAAACTGGAAATTTTTTCTTATTTCTAGTAATTGTTTTAATAATTATCCTATAACGTTTTGCATAATGTTCTTTAGACATCTTTTCTTCTAAAATCACTGTTAAACTGTGCAGCTGACCAGATACCATGTAGGCAACATTTCATCTGTTCTACATAGCATGTTTTATAATACATTATGCAAACAGACAGTCGTTTCAGTTTCAAACAATATTTTAGTAATGGTGGGGAACTAACAACAAGACATAGCATCCACTGGCAGAACAAATGTAGGTACATTTTGTAAAACTACAGTACAATAGCCCAACAAATTGCAAACTATAGGCATATACGTAATATAATATATCAAAAAGTACATTTAGTAGTATTCTCAGTGACTACGATCTATTCGAGGAGATACAACTCCGAAACATGTGTGCACAATATCATGATGTGATCTTACGGTTAAACAATGTAAAAAGGCTGGTTGCACAGCAGTTATTTGCATAAAACATATTATACACAGTGTATAAAAAGGGTCAACCAGCACATATCTAAATCAATTTCTTAAATGTGTTTTCGGATAGAAAACGGTAAATAGGTTTTAGACTTTAGAGAGTTAAATTCTTATCACGAGGGTTGAACGAACTGGTCTTGGGTTTCCCAGTCAATGTTTATCCTATAACTCTTTCTTCATGAGAGTCATCATGCCAACAAATTTCTTTTAACCAAGTGTGGCACAATTGAAGACATGGCATTGTATAATATGGCTACGCTGCATGAGGTGATGAAAGATTTTTATAAGAGTCATGTTAGGGAAACTTCATGGAGTGGGGTGGGGGAATATATTTTTATATTATTTGTTCATCAGGAGAGACGGTAGTAATGATTTCACAATGATGCCGGTATGATGACGTCATGTTCTACTACATGTATCAGATGACGTCGCGTTTGAGTGTGGCCACCGGAATCAGTATTTTGTTACTTTTCTCAGTGGGTTGACTTTAAAATAATTTGTGTAAGAAAAGTCTGAGATAAAATACTGTTTCATATATATATATATGACAAGATAAAGAAAATATCTTCATTTGTGCGAATCAAAGATAAAACTCTCGGCAGCGCTTCGGATATTTCTCCTATTCAAAGTGTCGAAGTTAGGATTTCTCCATCGACCTCGCAATAACTATAATGGGTATGAACCTTGGAAGTGAAGAAGAAATACATACCTATGCCACATGTAGAACCAGTATACCCTGGCGCACAGGTACAGGAGAACCCAGCGACAGCAGTCGAACATGTCCCATTATTTTGACATGGACTACTGGCACAGTTATCGATAACTACAAGTAATTTCAAACACAAAACACAGTTTGAATTTGTATTCCAATTTCATGATTATAACACAAAAAATCTAAAAAATATTATGACGTATGGAAAAAAAACACACCTATCAATCAAAATTCCTTATGGACAGACTTCTATTTCAATATTTATTAATGAATAATTAATTACGCCAAAGAAAACAACGAAGTAGTCTCCTCATTAATTGATGCGATCATTCATATCCCGCGAAAATTAATTGATGAACAATTGTATACGGTTGACGCTGTTAATTGCACTTATATTTCAACATTTATTCTTGGCGTGTTAATTCAAAATCCTCGCAAAAATGTAATTGGACACAATAAAACAAGCAACATTTATTGGTCCTTGATCTTTTCAACATTTCAAATCCTTGTAAATATATTGTTTGGAAAACTAATGCGAAAATAGGGTCAGACACAAAAGTTAACGTATGTCAGACGCGTCTTCATAAAATATTTAAATCACTTACCAGCCTGACAGGTTGGTCCGGTGTAGCCAATCTGACAAACACACGTATAACTAGCCACGTGATCAACGCATGTTGCCCCATGTGTACAGGGATTGCTCAAACATTCGTCAATATCTTAATAATATTAAAGTAAAACCGTTAGTTTACAGTATCACACTTGTGAGAAACAGCAACAATGGAAGAGTCACACTCAGTATTAAAAGATATCATTGTTAATACAAACATGTTTCTACATCAAAAAGGAATTTCTTGATTACAGAAGGGACATAATGATTGAGATCAACTCTTAATTAAAGGTTACTTATTTTCTTCAATATCTACCCTACAATTATTCCCTTATTAAAGGCGAGTTCCGTTTTTGATCGACGTACGTTGTTCAGTATTTTATTTACCCGTAACAAGTTTTACATACTCGAACAGCCGGTATCTTAGGGCATGGTTCCAATGACTTGTGTGCAGGAGGCAAACATTTAAGGCTTACATTTAAACAGTTTCTTGACAATATCAATATTTAGTAGTACGATAGTCGCTTCGTATTATAACTCCCATCTTACTCATAACAGGTTCGTTGACTGACACACGATTATTGTCACAGGCTACCCATAAATCGAATGATTAGAACATCAATAACGTTTACAACAAGCGCTTAAATTCGAAAGAAAGACATTTTAATGTACCCGATCACCATTTTTCTTTGATGGTTAAAATGCATGGGTCTTGGTATGATGTCAACAATTGGGCTTATTGCTGGACGCATATAATAGTTGTTGTTTTGTGTTTAATTTCGCTTCGTGCCTTAAATACCACGAAGTTCAAGAAATAAACAAGTTTGCTTGAATGCAATATAGTTTGCAAAAAGTTAAATTTCAGCGTGTTTAAAACATCAATAACTCACTATCCATGAATTCAATTTTACGTTATGAATACCAAAACAAAAATGCGCAAAGCTGATTTACATTCCACTTCGTCAAATGAACAATAAACCTCACAGGAAAATTGTGTGAACACCTTCTAATAAAGAAGCCATTCATTTATTTGAAATGTAAATATTGTAACGTTTATTGTAGTCTGTTTGAAATTATATTAATAAAACAACGTTTGAATTATATTTCTTCCCGAACTGTGACACTTTTCATCGATATATACTCACCGGTCTGGCAGTGAATGTCGGTGTATCCTGCCGCACAAACGCACGTGAAAAACTCGGAACTGCCAACACGTGAGCACGTACCGCCATGGAGACAAGGTTGTTTAGTGCATGGATCGACGTCTACAAAAATGAAACAGATCTTCAGGACGTCACTGCAGGTAATTCACATCAACTGTAGTCTTAGCCATACTCATAGTCTTAGCCATACATTTTCAATTTTTTTGCACGTTGCACGACTTAAACGTGTGTTTGGTTATGTCTATCTAGTTTTTGACGATATACGGTGGATCATTAAGAATCCCTGTCCCACTGAAGATATAACATTTGAGAATTTCACTATAGTTTTTAGTACACTCCGTAACATCTCATTAGCTTCCTTGTGTGATTTAATTGAAATGCGAATTGGTAAGGGTGCTACTGTTGACCAGCTACGTAGCTCAGTTCGTGAAAATCTATGTTACCTGAGCATGCACTTCAATAAGGTTACTAGCCGAAAATCAAAAGGTTGTTACCACTGATTATTATAATTTGCATTCTTAGGTAAGAAAAACCTAATTTGATTGAAAAATAAAATCATGAAGCTTACCCCATGCAGTTACTGAGAAACAACGGGAATCCGTGATTTTCCTGTAGAAAAAATGATTACATATTTACATAAATATTTATCATCTTTTTAATATATATTAACACACAAAACATCGTTCCTAAAACTAGAACTTTCTATCTATACTTTCTAAGTGAATACCGATGTAAATTAAAAAAGGAAAACTCAATTGAAATCCAGTGTTTCTCGCTGAATTTGTAAATTCCGAGTTTGCATTTATAGAAGCTTTGAATGTCCATCGAAATTCCCCATGTGCTATTTACGGAATTTTTATTTGGTTATTACCACTATATGCTTGACTTATTTGTCAATAAAATACCCCACTTATCTGCCATCAATTGCCACCGATATCAAACATTAACATTATGACGTCTACAAATAAATCATGACATTTATACGTCATATGAATGCATTATACGAGTCTTCACACAAGAAGTCACTATCCCGAGTTGTTTTGTTGTCCCCCCGACACACCACCATCTAAAACGAACAATAGAGTATGTAAACATACCCTTTGTCGTCTTCAGCCACCCCACACAAGATGTTGTCTCCTTTCTGGGACTGTGTTGGAGTCCACGTGATATTCCAGTAAACCACGTGCGGACGACTTGGGTCTGGGAATGGACCCGAGTACGTCACACCAGCGGGGGCAGTCAGCTGTAAGCTTGTAATGCTGAAAAAAACCCGTACAGTTTATCCATGAATTTAATATGTAAATTCCTAGATACTCAGTGGAAACAATGTACTGGGTCGATGAAAAAAAATTAATTTAGAAATATTAAATATAAAAGGTCATATTTCATTTTAGTCAAAAAACACCTTTTTAAATATTTAGCAAGTAGATTGAGGAATCAAAACAAAGTTTAATATTAGATTTTACTGCGCCTTATGGTCATTTCGTCTGTTTATAAGTAATATGTGATACACAAAATGATAAAGATCAGAAAATGTATTCTTAACTAAATATTTCATGTTAATCGTGAACAAATTCAATTTTCAAAGTTCCTGCCAACCTAAGGGATTGAAATGTCTACAGAAAAATCGAACGCTTAGTCACGTAAAAGAATCACCGGGAATACTTTGTAAGACATTAACAAAAACAACAAGTCGATGCAGAAAGTGAATTAAAGATTCGGCGAAAACGGATTTTAACGTGGAAGGGCGAAAGTATTTCTCGGTTAAACATTAATCAAATCCTCAGTAACATATACCTCGACGCGGGAAAAATTATAATGTATGTAGTAAAGAGAGAAAAACAATAAAGAAGGAGCAGAAAAAATAGTCTCACTCACGTTGCACTGGGGTTCTTCTTATTGGTGACATACATTAATGTTGAGAACGTCTTGCCTGCCGCGACAGTCACCGCGCTGCCTTCCGCTATCGTGTTGTTGATAAACACTGGCTTCCAGTCACAAGGAATGGGCTGGGTCTTCACGTGGATCAAAAACTGCGTGTAGAAACGTCAAGAGTTAGTCAAGTCTAATTCGAATGCAAGAAATAGTATCTGAATTTTGGCATTAAAAGAAAAATACTACTGTAATGAAATTTTCTGTGTAAATTTTTTTTTTGATGATGTGTTATGATTTCTTTCGTTATTTCTATACAACATACACATGAAACAAAAAAATAACTTAAGGGGAAGACCAGCTGAAGCAGTTTATATATGGTTTTACTTGATATGGGTAGAACAATAGTAACAGATGTGTTTTAAGTCTCAATCTCGTCTGCTTTACTTGATATAGCAAACAGAGTTTAACACAGAGAAGGCTGTTGAATATTTGACCAACTTGGACTGGTATGGCTGATATAGGGTCCGACGGCGTGAAGGTTTTGCCACCAATGGTGATGTTCGACTTTGGGAAGTCTTCAATGGTGATAGCTACAGCGTACCACCCGTCTGTCATGAAGTTAGCGTCGGCCGTAAACACGAGCGTGCACGATGTCTGAGGAATTTAAGTACCCGTCATTAGTATATGATGATATATCTATGTATATACAATAAAACCTCGGTATAACAGTCCCCGTTTCCTTTGCCACCTCACATACTGCAAACATCTTTCAATGCTATTTTCCCCTTTTTATTAATAATGTTTCCCTCACTTTAACGCCAAAACCCTTTTATAACGCCAAAATTTCTCTGGACAAATTATGGCAGTGTAACGACTTTATTTTCATAACATTATTTCGGTAGAAGGTATAAAGTACATACATTTGTAAATTGAAAGAAAAATCAAATGGTCTGCTGATTATGTCCGAAGTTAGTTTTACCACTAATACCAACACACCTGTCAACAATTTCACTGCGGATTAAAGCTTAATTAGATCCTTTATACGATTAGATATTACCAACTTCACACTCAGGGTGTTTTCCCGGTAGATTTTGGTCACATGCTATCTAGGTATACAGCTACTTGCCTTAAATATTCAAATACGTCGTTTGCTTACCAGCCTGTTACACACTTCGTCTATTGACCTCGTAAACAGTAGAAATCACATTTACATACCTCGTTAAGGGTGGCCACGGGCACAGCGTGGCAAACGCTAGCGCACTCATCTCCTTTGGCCCATCGGCACTTAAGGTTATCACCATCTGGATCAACCATGGGGATTTTTAGTTCGTGGTGGCAAGTGAACTGCACCCTTTATTATATCAAAAGACATTGATATATACAAACTTGTGATTTCTTAATTGATCATCGCTAACATAGTCTACAAATCATAAAATTTTGCCGAACATGGGAGTTGAAGTGGTTAAATTTCCTGTCATACCCGGAATAAGAAATTGGTTAAAATATATAGCATTTTAAATACATATTTCTAGTGGATTATACCATGTACAGCATATTGAATATTTTACATGAGCAATGCACACCTTGACTATTCTGGCTATTTTTAATGCGGATTACACAAAACAGCAAAAAATTGTGATTTTTATGTTGCACAGTGAAATTCCTCCATACTGTTTTGTTCTATAACATAACAACTATTTAGAATGAAAGAGCTCATGGTGGCGATAAATAAAAAACTACCTAATATTGTACATCAAATATATCCATGTATCAATAATCCAAAACTGAATGTTGTAGTGAACCGAAATAGTGGATTTGAAATTTTGACCGTTTGATTAATGAAATTACATCAATTATTGATGATATTATGTTTTATTCGCCTGCTTCAAGGAAACAATTCTAATTCCGTTGCTTTTTTTCCTAATGTTCTTGTTGTTTTTCGAATATAATTCATGTGACGTTCAGTTTTAGATTCGAACTAAGGTGATTAGAACCCTTGTGCACTGGCAGACATGGGTTCAACTCCACAAAAATGGAATATACTCTTAATATTGTCCAAACATATTACAAACAAGTATTGACAGTAGCTTATCCGCATCTAATTTAGTTATAACGTGTTGAAATACTGAAAAAATAGATATTTTAGCGGACTAAGATTTTAACGTATTATGGATTTTTCAAAGATTACCACTTTGATAAATTTTCGCACTCACGCTGCGTACAAACAGAAAATTATATACAGAAACGTCAATGATTGCAGTCATTATTTTGCGCAATAGTTATAGCGCAAAAAGCTTTAAATTTGGAATACCGCTAAACTATGTACATCTAATATATACAATAGTTTAAATGATATGTGATGACCCTCGGTATTATTTTGAGACAGCCTTACAACGTGTCACTATACTCACTCGAACAGTGGTTTGTTGGAGGTGATTGGGCTACTGTTAGGTCGGCCAATATCACTCCGCGAGTGAAGGTCTACTATGGTTTGTAGGTTCCAGTCGCCATTAGTTCCGAAACTCAGAGGGCGCCACTGGGTACCGTGGTAGCTGTAAGACATGACATGTTGAAAATACTCGAGTAGGTGAAAAGTAACACAACTCTTGTTAATCAACAAGAATTATCATTGAGTTGGTGAATGAAAAACAAAAAATATCAGTCCCGAAGATGCATCCTCGAAATCAAAGGGTACCATTCTCGATACAAATAACCTCTCTGCACCCCTGGGATATGTCATGTCAAAAAAGAAGGTTGTTATAAGCAGACAGTCTTATGTCTTTGGATGAAGATCAAAAGAATCGCGTAGCAGCGTAACGATAAAATCGACAGGTTTTGAAGTCGTGCATTTTCCTCTGTAATTTCCAACTGACGAGTATCAGCCTATCGTTTCGTACATTTTATACCACAAACCAAGCAAATACCTAACTGCATGCCTTCAATTTTGTCATGCTAGATTCCAGGAGTGCAGAGAAGACATGTGATGTGTGTTGAGGACGAAACCCAATGATTTCGAGAATGCCTGAGTGGAAGATAACACAGTTGACGAAAACATACATTACTAACCTTATAGTGTAGGGACCTAGACCACTGAACGTATAGTTGAATGAGTTCTGGCCCTGTTCCCAGTCTTCTACCCTGTTGGCACCCGTACAATAGTAGTAGACCGGTGCCACTGTTGGCTTGGAGTAGGATGTCCCACCACACCCCTTAACACACTTCCAGGGGTCGTCAGATATGAAGGAGTTACTGACGAATTGGCCTATCTTTGCTGCCGTACAGCCGGGACCCTTCCCGTGCGACCAGCCCATTTTGAATTTGAACTCCACCTTAAAGAGGAACGAGAATTATCTTCCAGCAAGATTGTAATTATAATTAATGCCGTATAATGATATTGTATTGGTTGCGCCATCCTCGATACCCAGGGGTTACGCTCACGTACGCTCTCTGCACCCCTGGAATATGTCATAGCAGAATTGAAGGCACAAAGACAGCTGTTTGACTTGTCTCGGGTAACAAAACCGGACCAATCGCTAGGCTGATACATGTCCTTTGAAGTTTACAAAGGGGCGACACCCGACTTCAAAGTCAGTCATTTTTTACCGTTACGCGACCGCGAAATTCTTCTGATGTACATCAAATGATCAAACTAGTCTTCTTGTCTCAGCAACAAGGTGGCTAACACTGAGCGTTCAATTTTGCTATGACATATTCCAGGGATGCAAAGAGCGTAAGTGAGCGTAACCCCTGGATATCGAGGATGGGGTTGTGCTGAATCGTTCAAACTGAATAATTTTCTATTTATTGATCAAAAGCTCCTGTTGACGATTAACAAACATTTGTACACTATATTACAAAGTTTGCATTAAAGTCACAGTCCAGATGACGTTTTGAAGTTTATCCCCAATCAAAATAAAGAAAAATCTCATTTATTGGCTTACATGTAGTTTCAAATACAACGTTTGACGCCTTGCTCGCAAAGGTCGAACAGATATTTAAGGACGTTTGAAAAGACTAGGTGATGATATCATCGTTTGGCATCGTTTGCAAATAACGTTTACTGCTGCGATGACGCAAAAGAAACAAATACCCACTACCTGTGTATACATCTGCAAATGTTATCAGCACCACAGACGATAAACAGATCCAGTACACGGATACATGGCCGACCGACACAAGCAATCACAGCTAGTGCATACCGCCCTATTTCTCTTCCAAAGAAAGACATGAACAGGAGGTTTAATGTCCAATGCTTTGTTTAAATAAAACTCTTAAAACTGTCGAACTGGCACCTTATTCCTCGAATGGCGTAGTTTCAAATACATTTTCTAATGTGTGTGTTGTGTATAATAGTAAATCAAATTATAATTGTTGTCTGATACATATGGCGAAGTCCAGAAACATCGCTCGCACCGGTAAAAAGCACAACCTATTTTAATGATTATTTCAACATGTTTTAGAAATGGTAAATATTTTTGCATACATTAACCATAATTACTATTGTGTTGTGTTTTTAAATACTCCTGGTAAAATTGCATATATTGATAGTGTAGGGCAAAGATGAACATGGCAAAGCCATAAAGAAGACACATTCGTTATGTCGAAAATATTTACAAAAATCATTGGAGCTTGCATCTAGTGTGTCTTGAGACAAGTTTAATTAACTGTTAAGCAGTTCCTGTTGAATAACCCCGACAAGATCGACCATACAATATTCAATCCGTGTGTTTTAATCTAATCCATTTATTAAAACATGGAACTTGTATACTGTGAAATCAGATATTTGCTTGGGGGCCAATATTTCGTGGTTTCACGACAAAACTCCATTTTTTGTCTCATGTCAAATCTATAATAACTTCGTTGACGTTTGATACGTGGATGAAGATTACCCGCGAAATCACTGATGTGACATAGGCATGCATAAATCCATACGAACAGGCAATGCTAATCTGGTCTAATTTGTTGGTAACAAAACAGGAAACGTTCTGTTTTAATGAGCCTTATTTAAATGAATTAAATAGACATTGGAATGTTGCAAAAACTGAAAACATCTAAAAGATGTTTGCCAATACACAGAGCGAATAACCTGTTCATTTTACTTTGCGAAGAATGCATACAAAAGAAACCCCGGAAATTCAACAAAATTTAGATCGAATTAGAAAAGAGTAAATTAGAAGAATGTGACAAAAACACTTTTAAGATAGATATAATTACATATTTAAAATAAGATTTTTTTTTATCGCGTAACTGGTTGTCACGCCAAGAAATAAATGTACATAGAAAGACGTCAGCATTCCGTGTTAAGAGGATTTATCGCTATTTCTGTTAGTGCGGACTCACCGTGTTTCCTGTTAAAGGTTTCCAGCTGATCGTTCCTCCCCGGAAATGGGTGCTAAGGACCATTGTTAGAATTGACAGGAACAACAGGGTACAGACTGTGGGTGTCATGAGGACTTGACGCACGCGGACGACTCTCCTTTACTGTATCACATAGGGAGGTAATACATGTACGAAACTAAAATCTTGGATATCCCTTTAGGAATACAATATTTTATATTGATTCCTATAAAAAACTACTCACTTTAATTATTAACGTGATACACGTAATGATAAACTTTTCCTTTCTTATTACGAGAGGAAAATAATCACCAACGCAATACATTTACTCACCTTAACGTAATACTAATCAAAGTCGTATATCATTATTTTATTTTAGATGACTTTGACACTTCTGATAGATAAAAACTAATAAAAATATTTACTTTCGTATTAAATCATCAAATGTTTAAGGTATCGTATCTCAATGTATATATAAATCTTCCTAATTTCCATTTAGTTTAGGGAAACCTTTCTTAAAAAAGAAATATTTCCTGACTCTAACTATTATTCAAGGCATTTTTATCACTCCTCAATATGTACGAATATTATTAGATTCCAACGAAGAAAAATCTTTCTTACCAAAACTGTTTTACTTGCTGTAAGAATTATTCAATGTGTATTGCCATTCTCCAAGGTGCGTAATTCCTGCTGTTATTCCCTCGGGGAAAAAAACATCCGGATGATGAAAACTCAACCACTGTTGAAAATAACTTTTTACTGTAATAATTATTCAAAATGCGTATATCCAACGTACATTCTGCCAAGAAAGAAAAATCGCAATGTCAACTTGTTTTTCCGATGACAATATTTGCGAGATCGATATTAGTGATCCCTATCTTGACAGGGTCCTCTTTATACAAAATTATCTACAAGTGTCATTGATAGCCATATGGACACACTATGGCGGAGGTTTCCGAACCACGTCGGCCTACCCACTAAGGGACATGACCAATACTAGAGGGTGATTTATGTAAGTGTATATCAGTTATATCAAACAGATATGTCAGAAATCACACTTTCACACCAGTCGTACCTTTGTAGTACATCTGGATTGTGTGTAGTTGCCAAAGTGGAAGCGTTGTTTGATCAGTTTATTTGAATGTGCTCCGTATTACGAATTATTCATGTATAAAAAAAACACTCCACAATCATGTTTTCATTTTACACTTCTGTAGTTTTATCGCACATTTTTATAAGCATTGACAGGATATTGTTATATAATGAGCATTTAAAAAAAAAAAAAATTATGAAGGTTTAATGATTGTTTTATTGGATTTCACACAACAGATAGCCATATTTGTCGACATTTTCTTTTCATACCAATATGATAAAAGGCCACAAGGCAATGTACTTGACATTTGTGTATTGCATAACAACTTAAACAGTGACGTCATAGTGGAGTAACACAGCGACAGACATATGCTTTTAATTTGATCGTTTGTATTGGGCAGAAAAAAAATCGATTTTTATATATGAATAGTAGACTTCTTATGAACAGGCGCAAGAATTCGCTTCGCAGATGCATACATACAGAACAATAATGTATATGGCATTTCATGGTTATATCATTTAGATATAATATCTAAAGCTAAAAATACGCTTATGAATCGACACAATCGATTGAATATGAATCTTTATTAACTTATATCTATTCAAGCAAATCATAAGTACGTGTACATGTATATTACTTTAACCACATAATTAGCTATCTTAGTCCGTGCTTTAACAATTAGAGATAATTCTGTTTGGCGTAAAAAAAATAGTCGTAATATCATATATACTGATATATTTAACAAGTTCAAAAATACCCGAAATTCATTTGGGTAACGAATAAAAAAGTCCTAAAAAAGAGGTGACTATGTATTATTTAACCTTATCGAGGAATATGACTGGAATACTCTTTTTGCTACATGTAACTCTGTTGATTCGGCTTCGATTTTGCTTGTAGAACAATACCACACAAAGAAGTTACTATAAGACCTAACGATGAGCCATGGATGAATTTAGTCCTGAGAAAAAATATGAGACTACGCGATAGATTACGAAAAACAGCCAAGCATTCTAAGCATCCACGGGATATATCTAAACTCAAAAAACAGCGAAACAAATTAATAACATGAAAAAGCATGCTAGAAAATCCTTCTGTAAAAATGTTGGAAATCTTATTGATTTTTATTACTCATCTGATCCTAAAAAATATTGGCGACTGATGGGAAATTCAGGGACCTCGCAGTCTATTCCTACTTTAGTTGATTCAACATCGGGACGTTTATTAGTTGACGATAAGGACAAATCAAATTTATTGAATAACAATTTTTGCAGTATCACTAGCATAGATGATAACAATACTGATATTCCTATTTTAGAACCGAAAACGGAGAGTTCATTTGAATCTCCTATAATTAACTATAATGAAATATGTGATGTCTTGTTGAATTTAAAACTTGACAAAGCCTCAGGCATGGATGAAGTACACTGCAAAAACTGTATGTAAACCACTAGAAACTTCTTTTTAACTTATCGTTATCTACTTGTATTTATCCTGATATTTGGAAATTTGCTAAAGTGTTACCGCTTTTTAAGAAGGGTGATAGGCATTCTGCTTCTAACTATAGACCGATTTCTCTTTCGTCTACGGTTGGTAAAACATTTGAAAGTGTTATCTTTAAGTACTTGCAAATTTTATTTTTTTGAAAATTCTCTATTTTATCAGTACCAATCAGGATTTATGCCTGGCCACTCAGTTGTGTATCAATTAATCGAATTATGTCATAATATTTGTCTTGATCTAGAAGAAAAGAAGCATACTTGTTTAGTTTTAGTTTTCTGTGACATCTCAAAAGCTTTTGACAGAGTCTGGCATAATGGTTTATTAGTCAAGTTAAAATCATATGGTATCTCAGGAAATTTCCTTTCTTGGATCGAAAACTAC